GGAAAGGGAAAAAGAGGGTTAAAAAAGTTTTTTTGATGAAATGGTATAAAAAGATTTGTTGGGGCTAATTTATGTGGTCAAAAGTCAATAAAAGAGGGAGAGAAGAGATGAGGGGGTACCGTAAAATCCTTAGGGATTTCCTTATGCCGCTTGAAAGAAAACGAAAAGAGGGTCTATCATGAAATAATATGAGGAATTAGGGTTCTATATGAAATTTTCCCTTATTAAAAACATTCACCTTGTATCTTATGTTACATTCACCACATTTTGGCAAGTTCCCTACTTGGCTCCAAAAGGATATTAAGATCTGTTACAACATCCTTGCACTTCAACAGCATTTTCACATTCATTGATAGATTAAATTAGAACACCAAAGCATGTATCATGATAATGTATCTTGCTATAATTTGATTTGGTATTACCTTTTTTCGCTGCTTTTGAAAACAAACTTCTCTTTCCTCTTTCTCCAATTGCTTTGGGAATTTTTGCTCGCATGGTTGATTGATGTCGTGTGCTGTTACTTTGTGTCCCTTCCTCTATCAATCTATCTTTTAGTGCTTTTCATAGTTCATATTATATTTAAATATGGTTTCACTTTGTATTGTCAGGCATCCTTGTTGGGCAGATTGTCAATGTAGGGCATTTTCGTCTTGTGAAACTTTGATGCTTTTAGTTGTTTTTTTTTTTTTTGAGAGAAAGTTGACATTTGGTGCTTTTAGTTGTTATAGTTCATGTTTTTGACTTTATTATGTTTGTAATGACTGGCTAAGTGGGTCTGTTATTTAGGACTGCAGGCAACAATGTTCAATGATGAAAGCAGTGAGTTTCATGTTCTTGTCGCAAGTGATGCTATTGGAATGGGTCTTAATTTGAACATTCGTAGAGTTATATTCTCAACAATGGAGAAATTCGATGGTGTCCAAATCCGGGAACTCACCGTGCCAGAAGTTAAACAGATTGCAGGTCGTCAATCTTTCTACTGCTTTTAAGTTGCACATTTGATGTTTTAGCATATTTACTCTCTGCTTTGTTGTAATTGTATGTATTTACCCTATCCTTGACTTTTTTCAGGGAGGGCTGGAAGGTATGGTTCTAAATTTCCTTCTGGGGAGGTTACTTGTATAAATAAAGATGATCTGCCTTTACTTCATTCCTCACTCCAATCTCCCTCACCTATCTTAGAGGCAAGTTATTATAATGTTCTGTTCCTGCTATTAATATTTATAACTAGTAGATCCATGATTTAAATCTCCTAGTGCTAATGATGGAATTAGTATTTAAATGTTTGAGAGCATCCCTTTGCATTGATAATCGAAGTTATTGGTTCATGATCAATTACCTTAATGTGTTTTTGCAGCGGGCTGGATTGTTTCCATCATTTGATCTTTTGCTATTATACTCTCGTTTACATCCAACCATTGGATTCCACTCCATGTTGGTAGGATACATACCAAACTTGTACTCCCATATTATGTTTTCTCCTATTGTTTGATGCCATGATTTATGGGAACAAGATATTGAGTTTGTTTTTAATGCTACTATCCAAAGAAAAAAAAAAGTGTCTGATTTGAATGCTTCCCAGAAGCATTTCCTTCCCTTAGAATATTTTTTCTTGTATGGGCTGTTCGCGTAATTTCTGTGCCTTACAAAACAGAAAAATGGTGGGGCTTGCCCTGGTAAAAAATGCAATGCCAGATGCAGCTTCAAGCAAAATTGATATCCTTGTGACCAGATTCTACCGATGGAGCAGTAATTTGTAGTTGGGTGTATACTGCTGTAATTGATAAAGTTACCATGCTGCTATCCAAACAATAGCATTCATTTCTTAACCTAGATTACTAGTTAGAAAAAGCCAGTAGTGAAGCATACAACCTTTTGGTCTTTATAAGAATGCAAGTTAAACTAGTTTTGCTCCAAGTAAGCAATCTTTGTGGTGGATGAGACAGAATTCATGGCATGGAGCCCCCGCAAGATATGGTGTTTGGTGGAGTTCACATGGGGTTTTAACTAAGAGTTTCGATCGTTTGATAACAGTTCCCAAGGAACCCTAGACCATCTGGTGTGGGATGTATCCCTGGGAGGCGGCATCTTGCTGCTGATGTAATTGTTGTTATGTCTAACATCTTCATTTGGTTGTACCTCAAGTGCAGCTCAATGTATTTTTCTGTTGAAATTGTGAGAAACATCCTACCTCGTTCACAGGGAGCCTGACTCAAAGCCTAACGCTACTGGAATGAACAGTGACTTGTCTGGTTTTAAGTACTTGGATTCATACCTTTGACAACTCCCCATAAACTGACAAATTTCTTGAGTGAGAAAGACAGTAAATCATTAGGAGCACATAAAAATGTTCCTCCTAAAGTAGCTGTGTTATTACAAATAACGTAAAAGTCCTTTTCTAGGTTCTAGGAGCAAATCATTCTCAATGGCAGTATCTTTGTAGATTTGGCTAGTGGTGATGATCTTCTTGAATTTTCTAACTTAGGAGTACGCATTCTGCAGAATTCTTTTTTGTATCTAGTCCAGCGTTTTAAAAAACGCCGAGTCGAATCGGACTCGCCCGGTTCGACTCGGAAATCGTGAAAAGGGACCGGATCGCCCAAAAAATCGGAAATCGTCCGGTTCTAGAGAGAACCGGACGATTCTGTACAGTGATTCACTGTACGGAATCGGCGAGTCCGAACAGTGAATAGGCGATTCCGTACGGATTTTTTTTTTTTTTTTTTGTTTGTATTTTTT